GCTAAAAATAGCATACATGTATTTAATTTAGCTTATTTGTTTAATTAAGGTGTGACGGTGCCGATCCAGCGTCTAATGACGGATCCTACCAATGACGGGGCCATAGCGGGAGGAATCGTAGCGGCCAGTTTGGCGGTCACTATTGTACTGGTTCTCATCATAATATTCCTGTGTCGAAGGTAACGCATATATCTAAAATAATAGATATTGTATGGAATTTTGATAAATGAAGGACCTTTGTCCACTTTGAATTTAATTTAGAATATCTTATTAAAAATATTTATGCGTACGGTACTTTGTATGGTACATTGCATATGAAAAGTAAGTATAAAAATAAATTTACAAATGCTTAGAAGCGAAAAGATCTTCAATTTTCTGAAATTATTCACAGAGCCAGTGATTCCCCAGCCCCTGATTCTGGTGCCATTCACTATGTCAACGGAGGACAAGTGAACCGGAACGGAGTTAACGGAGCAAGGAAAGGGTCAAGGGTCATTAAAAACTAAGTGTTCTATAGTATAATACAATGGCATTTAAGTACAAATGAGATCTAAAACAAATTAAGAAACATGATTTATCCTAATTTATCACACAACTTGAACCAGAGAACCAAGTGCTACAGTGTCCATCTACCTTGCTATGCTCTTAGAGAAAGCACCATTTTTTTCTTACATCTTATTTTGATATTTAAGAATCATTGTCTTACCAAAGAAACTACATTATATTTTAGCATAATCATCAAAACAAGACAAAATATCTATTGATTTTTGAGTGAGACAGATTTTGAAAGAGAAGGAATAAAAAAAAAGATAGGACAAATTTCGAAGGGATAAGTTCACTGTGGCATTTCACTCTGTCAAGTTAAAACTCCTGGTGTATTCATAACAGCTCAATAAAAAAATCACAGATGATAAAAAAAAAAAAACAAAGATAAAAACTGAAACAGAATGGCTTAATGTCCAGTCCTGTTTTAGAAGTCTAACTTTTCTGGGGAAATCTTGTCCGCTGCTTCTTTCTATTCTGTTTTGTAACAACTTTGCAATGTCATCTGCTAACTCATCTACGGTTGTGTAACGGACATACTCGAAACTAAACATGTCCCTGAGAAACTTCAAAACCGATTCCTGTCAAAGGGGAGGGAAGACAAGTTACTTTCCTCTGCATAACAGAGGTATAATAAATAAACATTTAAAAACTGTGTCAATTACTATAGTCCTTGAAATTTGTGTTTGCTAAATTTTCAAAAATCAAACAATGGAGGTAATTCTTACATACAGTCATTTCAATTAAAAGACTGACAGGAATAAAAGTCCTACCAAACTTTTTCTTTTGTAAACAGATATACATGTATAGATAAATATATAAAGTTTCTAGATGCTTTGAACGGCTTCAATGCTTACCTTAAAAAACATGCATAATTCTTTGAGGTTTGATTCTGGTCCCATGAAACCCCAGGCTAATACTGGGCTTGTATGTTCAGAAATGGAGTAAAACTTGGATATAAATCCATCTGAAAACTGAGTATCATCTTAAATGTTAGCTATATGTGGCATAGTTCATTCAAAGACTACCTTGCACTTCATAAAAATTCAGATGTATATTATATCTCTGACATAAAAAATATCCGGTTGCTTACCTTCAATAGTCGTCTTTTAGCTTTCAAAACAGACCAAACAGCTGTAGAAAGAGCCTGTCAAAGAAAACAGTATCAATACCCTAAAACTGACCAAACAGCTGTAGAAAGAGCCTGTCAAAGAAAACAGTATCAACACCCTAAAACAGACCAAACAGCTGTAGAAAGAGTCTGTCTAAGAAAACAGTATCAATACCCTAAAACTGACCAAACAGCTGTAGAAAAAGCCTGTCAAAGAATACAACATTGATACCCAAAACTGACCAGTACTAATCCAAATGTTGGTTTTTTTTTCATTTATTGAGTATATCCATTAAAAATCATAAATATACAAATAATGACTTAAAATGTGTTGATTACTGTAATTTTGAGATCTCAGGATAAATACTTACAGTTTCTTTGAAGCTTCTAGATAACCATCTGTTCTGAATTACAGCAATAACAGAGGAGGGGGGATTTTCCAAATCATCAAATGCATCCATCAGTATAAAATCTAATACTATGTCATAAAAGGACATGCATTTTACCTAAAAAAAAAATAATGTTCAATTATATGACAGTTATTTGAAAAACACATTCTTTGCTGATCTGTGAATTTTCTGTTGCAATTTAACTAATTCATGTACTCAAGCAGGAACACCATTAAGTTGCATGACAAGTAAGAACTTCACTTAGTCACTTTACTATATACATAAGCCCAAAAAACTAAGAAAATTTATATATTTTATATATAATAAATATATGATCAATAGAAAATGAATATTCATATATTACAAATGTATTACTGCAAAGAATAGTTCCAGTAACTTGACTTACACCCCGTCCTTTTAATTCTTCTTCAATTTTGAACCAATTGTCCTCCACTTCTATAAAATCTATCATTGCATCATATGCTGTGTAGAATTCATCTGGATCCTTCAAAAAGGAACAAATTATTAGTAGAGAAGAGAGTATGGTGATTTAGATTCTCCACAGTTACACCTAGATGGGGAAGTAAAGGACTGTAAGCTCAATCAAAAGATTACTAAGTTTATATGTTATAGATAAATTTTAATCTTACCCTATCAGCTCGGATCAGCAGGTCACCAATTAATTGTTTACTCATGGTTCTGAAGTAATCTCTTAGACTTGATTGTTTAAATATAACCTAAAAGATAGCATGTGAACAATATTACTCACCCATTAATTTATATACAGTGTAACTTTTAACCTAAATGGATGTTTAGATCAAATGGAGGAATTCTTGATTTAGAAAATTATTTCTACTATAGTGTACATACATTGAAAGCTAGACGGATACAGTGCAACTTTGCCAAGAACTCTGTGTCCGATATACACTGAGTCATCTCGGTCCTAAAAAAGATCAAACATACCCATATTCATTTCTTAAATGGCAATAAAAATATTGAAGATGTTAGTCATAACTTCTGAGTAAGAAGAAAATTCTTAAAGAGCAACCATGATTTTGTCAAAATAATTTGAAATTAGAATCAAGCTAAAAGTATTGAATCAAATATTTATGAAAATGTAGAAATTAATATCCTGCCTTAGAGTCCTGCATGGCACATGACCATGTTTTAATTCTAAGAGACCTGCTTCATATAAAGGAAGATGCTGAAACATTTCTCTATGGTTATCTAAGTCTGATAAGTTTGCCATCTACAATAAAAAAATATATAAAATATGTACATAAATTTACATAAATGTTCATATTTGACACCAACTTTTGAATAAAAATAAAAAAAATCACAATGTAGTTTTGAACATCGATTTATTAAAATGGAAACCATATGAATATACTAACGTCAGTAGCAGAGACAAAGGAGTCTTGGTCGCTGAAAGACCCTGCATCAAAGCTTTTTGTTCTCTCTGACGGTATGTCTGTCTCTGTGTAAGCCGCCATTGCAACCTCCAGGGCAATATTGTCAGCTTGTCTCTCAGCACGACGCTCAAAATTATCAATCATTCTGTAAGCAGCGTCCAGTAGTTGATCCATCTGATGCTGCAACTCCGCTGTCTCTGGATCCTAGAAAAATAAGTTTTAATCTATGTTTTCTTCTCAAATGACTTTTATACTTGGAAAATATATTTTACATCTATATTAGTAGAATAACTGTATTTCAGAAATATAAACAAGCATTTTTATAGCTTTACATGTACCTTATCAACCTCCATATAACTGCTCTTTAAAACAATTAATGAAATTGTTAACATTCATTTTTAAAAAAAAATCTACAGAGACTAAAATATGTGTGAGACAAAGCAAAGATTATTTCTAGTTTGAATGGCAAAATTAAATGTTCTGAATCAGTTTCTGTGTGGAAAGTTTTGTATGTGTTAGTTTTGAATTATTTATATCCCAACTTACCAATATAGCGGGCTTGGATCTATCTTCATTAAAGGATAACTTCATTAAACCATCTTCCCAATACACCACAGCTTGTTGGAGAGTTTCAAAACCTGAAAATATGAATAAATATTTTATTTTAACAACAACAGTAAAAAGAAAGCTGTATCATAAATTCATACATGGTCAAGGCTTACTTTTCCAGCAGTTATTTGCCCTACCTAGTTTACACAGTTGTGTTGGTGACATGCTGCTAGTGTCCATTAACTGGTGGGTAATTGTGGAGGCAGAAGAGGCACCACCTATACTTGACACGGAACCTGACAGAGACTTCTGTTTCAAGGAATTCAAGAGAGAGGATGGACTCTCTGTATATCTGCCCAAAGTATGCCCGAGGATATCTACAATATACAGATTAATAAAGTTTCTCCTATCTTAAAGGGCCTTATAGGTCAAAATAACAACTTTCCAGTGATTGAATTTGATTCATGTTTTAAGCCAGATGCTATGGCATTCACAATTTTGAAAGAGGCACCATTGGTCATCATAAAAATACACTTAGCAGTTGCTTAGTTTGGTTACTTAATACCCATAGGCAGGGTAGGGGAACAAAAAATGCAATTCAACTAATCAGTAATATTCATCAATAATCAGTAGTGCCCCTTTCACACATGAACCCCTGAACCTTAGGCCTAGGCTTACACATTGCACAATTTTTGAAAAGGCATCCTTGTTTTTCAAAAATATTTTATTAATACCAAGGAGCAGATTTCAAACAATTCATTCATTTTCAGTATATAAGTACCCCTGACCCTGGGGCCTTGAAATTCACAATTCTGGAAGATTAGGGCCCTTGCTCATCATAATTATAAAAGTAGTTCATCTGCTCAATACCCAGTAGCAGAGAAGAAATATTTTTAAAGATTTAATGTATTTTCACTATATAATAAAGAGGAGCCCGCCCTAACACCAGAACCCCTGACCCTGGGGCAAAAAATTCACAAGTTTGGAGGAAGCATTTTATTCATCATAACTATGTACTTAGTTTATTTAATACCTAGGAGCAGAGAAGAAGATTTTCAAAGAATTCATGTATTTTCACTATATAATCAATAGAGCCCCCGCCCTAACACCATAACCCCTGACCCTGGGGCCATAAAATTCATAATATTGGTAGAGGCACTCTTGCTCATCATAACTATGTACTTAGTTGGTTTATTTAATACCCAGGAGCAGAGAAGAAGATTTTCAAAGAAATAATGCATTTTCACTATATACTTATTTAGCCCTGCCCTAGCACTAGAACCCTTGACCCCAGGGCCATGAATTTCACAATTTTGGTAGAGGACCCAATGCTGATTAAAATCATGCAAACAGTTTGACTGCTTGATGTCCAGGAGTAAAGAAGAAGATTTTTAAAGATTACATTAATTTTAGTGGTTTTGGCCCCACCCCTTAGGCCCCAGGGGGATAGGGATCATGAAATTCAAAAATTTTGTTCCCCTTCACCCATACATGCTTTGTGCAAAATTTGGTTGAAATTGGTTCAGTGGTTGCAGAGAAGAAACTGAAAATGTTCAAATGATAATGCACGATGCACGACGACGGACAAAAACGGATAGCAATAGGTCACCTGAGTTTACTCAGGTGACCTAAAAAAAAGTATGTTACAATTCTCCACATGTAAAATAAAGCATTGAATGTATTGTTTTTAGAGAAATCACTTACCACCATTTGGCAAAGATAAGTTATTTTTCCTGGAATTTGATTTCAATTCTTTCTTTTTTATCTTCCTTTGGTAGCGGAAATAAAAAGCCAGCATTCCCATTATTGCTACACCTAGTGTTACACCAAGTGTGGTTACTCGTGAGGGCCACATCAGTTTCATTTTTGTTATGTGTGGTAATTTCAAATCCATGTACGGCATTTTTGTTATCTTATATTCTCTATATTCTGAAAAATAAAAAAAAAATTAAAAAATGAAAATATCATAATCAATCTCCTGTGTTCATGTACTGAAAACAATCTCAAGTGTCTTATGTCATGAAAACATCCGAGTTGGATAGTGATTAAAAAAGGTTAATAAGAAATCTAGAAAATGGGGTTACTATGCATATCTGATAAAGACTGATATAGAATGATACAAAATCAGATTAAGTTGTCTACTTGCAAAACTGAAGTTTAACTTCTGATCTCCAATCCAACATTTTTTTTTTAAAGTAAACCTTGTGAAAAGTGGTTGAATGTTGAAATGAAAATATTTTGTTACAGTTAATCTGAGGCGTATAAGAAAGAAATTAAACAGACAGCAGCAAATCTGAAGCTCAGTCATTGATTTAGAGAAGAGAGAGACTTGGATCTATCCATTTTTTTTGACCTGCGTTATGTTTAAAGTGCTAGGCTACATGTTAACAGACTACATCTTAGATCATAGAATGCCACAACGACAAGTTAACAATAGTATTATTTCTTCTGAATCCATTAATTATCACAATACTTAAGACTTATGCTCACCAACTTCAATATATTTCACACTTGTCCATTTTACGTTGTTTCATTTCCAGCATACTTTTACAATAGCACTCTGATATAATGGCTATGTTCTCTGAATTATCTCAAGCGTCATGATATCACAGAATAATAATTTGAACCAACATCGTTGTGTTACATTTCGGAGTCTATCTGTGACCAACAGGTATCTAAAAATTGAAGAAAAATATTAGTAAACCTGAACCAAAGTCAACACACTCTAATCACCGGAACTTGCAATACGGCTAAACTACAAAAACTGGTAATGGTAAGAACATCATATCCGGAAAAAATAATAGAATGTTATAACAGTATATAGAAATCAAAAGTACGTTTTAGCTCTTGGGACATAAATGTAAATTCAGGTTGTTATTAATAATTGTGTTACTATATGTAAAAAGAAACTATTTCCAAACAAGAGGCCCATGGGCCTTATAGGTCACCTGAGCATCATGCAACAACTTTCAAATGATTGAATTTGGTTCATGTTTTAAGCTAGATACCATGGCATTCACAACTTTGAAAGAGGCACCATTGCTAATCATAACTATACACTTAGCAGTTGTTTAGTTTGTTTACTTAATACCCATAAGCAGGGTAGGGGAACAAAAATGCATGTCGACTAATCAGTAATATTCAGCAATAATCAGAAGTGCCCCTACCACACATGAACCCCTGACCCTAGGTCTACACATTGCACAATATTTGAAAAGGCACACTTGCTTATCAAAAATGTTTGATTAATACCAAGGAGCAGATTTAAAAAAATTCATTTCAGTATATAAGTAGAGCCCCCCCCCCTTTGGTATCCCTGACCCAGGGGCCTTGAAATTCACAATTCTGAAAGAAGAGTCCTTGCACATCATAACTATATGAATAGTTCATCTGCTTATTATCCAGGAGTAGCGAAAAAGATTTTCATAGATGTAATGTTTTTTCACTATATAATCAATATAGAGCCACACCCTAACATAATAACCCCTGACCCTGGGGCCATAAAATTCACAATTTTGGTAGAAGCATTCTTGCTCTTGCTCATCATAACTATATACTTAATTAGTTTATTTAATACCCAGAAGCAGCGAAGAAGCTTTTCAAAGAATGAATGCATTTTCACTTTATAATTAATAGAGCCCGCCCTAGCACCATAACCCCTGACCCTGGGGCCATAAAATTCACAATTTTATTAGAGGCACTCTTGCTCATCATAACTATGTACTTAATTAGTTTATTTAATACTCAGGAACAGAGAAGAAGATTTTCAAAGAAATAATGCATTTTCACTATATAATCAATAGAGCCCGCCCTAACACCATAACCCTTGACCCTGGGGCCATAAAATTCACAATTTTGGTAGAGGCATTATATCTATGAATTTAATTAGTTTATTTAATACCCAGCAGCAGAGAAGATTTTCAAAAAATAATGCATTTTCAATATATAATCAATAGAGCCCCGCCCTAACACCAGAACCCATGACACTGGGGCCATGAATTTCACAATTTTGGTAGAGGACTCGATGCTGATTACAATCATACCAACAGTTTGACTGCATGCTTGATGTCCAGGAGTAAAGAAGAAGATTTTTAAAGATTGCATTAATTTTAGTGGTTTTGGCCCCAGCCCCAGGCCCCGGGGGGGGGGGGGGGGCAGAGACCATGAAATTCAAAATTTTTGTTCCCCTTCACCCACAGATGCTTTATGCCAAAATTGGTTGAAATTGGTCCAGCGGTTTCAGAGAAAAGAAGCTGAAAATGTTTAAATGTTAACGCACCACGACGGACGAAAACGGATAGACTCATAGCAATAGGTCACCTGACCTAAAAATCTATCTGTTCATTTATTATAATTATTACCGACTTAAAAAAAAATAACTGAGGCCAGCGGACAACTAAAAACTATGACAAACGGGGTGACTTTTCATTGTCAACTTTCCTTTTCTGTATAGGAACTCAAGTGATTCATCCTTCATCAGTAGTATAAGGCGCCTGGATGGGGTGGTCAACTGAGTGCACTTTTGGGGTTGGGGGGATAGGTGGGTCAAGAGAGTGCAGCCCCTGGGGGATAGGTGGGTCAACAGAGTGCAGCCCCTGTGGGGGATAGG